GGTAAAAGCAAGGGTAAAGTGCTATTAGGGCATGTATGGACGCAGGTGCTTGTAGCAAACAAAGCAAAAAACTGCTTCTTGCCATGCAGGTTTAGTAAGGTGCTAATTTTAGGTACCTCTGACTAAATGTTGTTATGCATCTAAGAGCAAGCCTAATAAGATACAGTCAGTAGGCTTTAAGGATTAAAGTATTGTATTTTTGTTGAGTTAGATGGACGCGAGAGAAGAGGGGAGAGAAGGGAAGCGGGCTGTAGATTAACAGCCAGCTGCAGCAAGGCCTCAAAAACATTGCGGAAGTGTAGGGTGGGCCATATATTAATAAAGTAGTAAGTACTTAGTAACTAGCTACTATGCGTGTTATCTATTAGGTTGGCTATAGCTGACATGATAATTTCATATAGCCGGTTGTTTGCTATACTATTAAGTATTAACCATACTCTAAGCACCCATGGAGAGTAGGTGCTTAACTTTCTTGTTTGAGAACGAGTAGATGGGATGACATAAATGGCTGGGTAGTTGACGATCTATTACTGGCTTTATTGGCTCTCTTTAAGCCCCGATGTAAATGCATCATATCGCGTTGTAACAGCTAGTATTTGTTTTTTCAATGGTCGTCTGGTATTTGTTACATGTGTAAGCTACGAACTAGAAACTATAATCCGGTATGGATTAGCTGGAAGAGTCGTTTGAACTTGGTGGCACGCAGCAACAGGTTGGTCCGCAGAGAAAGAGAGAGGATAACTGGGGACTGAACCTGGTCCTCTTGCTGATCCCTCAGGTAGCGGTGCGATGCGCCATCGATGAAGGCGGCAGCATCTCCCTGTCTCTGTGGCAGCATACGGATGGAGCCATCGTAAGGGGACGACAGATAAAGGATTTGCTAAGAGAGCAAGAGTTGGGTACCTCAGGGGCGGCGACGACAAAGGAGAAGGCAAGCGCGAGGAGAGGGAGGAAGAGAAGGAGGTGATGGCGAGCCATGGTCGCCGGCGTCGGCTGGAGATCCGGTCGAGTCGCTGGCCAAGATTTGGATCTTCTTTTGAATGCCAGGCCAAGATTTGGATCTTGGTTGTCCCTCTCTCCCCCTCCCTCTAGTAGAAAATAGATAGGGGAAGCAAGCTGCATAGACAAGAGAGTCGATTGGTCGAGGAGAGGCAGGACACGACGCGCACGTTCCAACCTGTTAGGCCAACTCCACCGCGCGACCCTACATGTTCGCCCCGTTCGTTTGGGATAAAAGAGACAAAAACAACGGTCCAGCGCGCGGGCGTAAACGGACTTTTGTCCGCTTTGTGTCCGCTTTCGATCCATCACCGGCCCAAGTTTGCGTCGATTTTGGGGTGAAACGGACAGCGCGCGGACGGGCGGGACGCGCGCGCTTGTCCTCCCCTGGCCCGTCTGTCGGTGGGAGAAACCAAAACCCCCCACGCCCATTTGGCGTCATTTGCCCCAAACCCTCCCACGTCCCTCCTTCCGCCCCCTCTCTCTCCCCCGTCCATGGCCGACGCCCCGCCGAGTTCCGGTGGCCTGGCCGTCGACCCGCCCGCAAAGATGAAGAAGAAGGCGCCAAGAAAGCCGCGGTCGGAGTGCACGCCGGAGGAGATCGCCAGGTTGGACGCGGAATCGGCGAGGAGGAGGGAACGGAGAGCGGTCGTCAAGGTCAATGCCGCCGCGGCCAAGTTCGCCGCCCAGCGCGAGGAGCTGGAGGCCGCGTGGCGCAAGGCCGCTGCCGACGAGAAGGAGGACCTCGTCAACAAAGCGCACGCCATCCTCATGCTTGGCATGGGCCGTCCTGTCGGGTTCCCTGCAGCGGCCGTTGGCCCGGCGAGCACAGGCTCGTCGGTCGCCCGACCAACGCACTGCCAGTTGCCGACGTCGCGCATGCCCATGTCGCCCGGCTTCCCTCCGCCAAGGCACGACGGCCAGACCCGTTTCTCGGGGTCGCCGGACGTGGGCTTGTTCGCGACGTCCACACCGCGCCCCGCGGCCGTCATCGACCTCAACGTCACGTCTGGGTCCAGCGGCGGCGGGCGGCCGTCCGTCGAGATGCTAAGAAAGAAGGCACGGACACCGTTCACGGGCACCATGCCGGCCCCCCGCGTCTTGTTTGACGGAATGCCAACCCCAACGCCAGCGGTCGACGACCCCTTCTACAACTGGTACATGGAGGACGTGATCTTCGACGGTGGGCATGGCCGTACCTACGACCGCGATGAGACCCAAAGTCAGGATGGCCGCGCCGAGTACATCCTCGTTGAAGAGGCCGACGACCGTGCTGACTACGACCATGGTGACTCGTGGCATGAAGACGATGACATCTATGTTGAAGGTGATGAAGAAGAAGAAGGCAATGACATGGGTGCCGCCCGCAGGAGGAGATGCTCGACGCCGAAGGCCTGAACTAGGTCGTCCGATCGGCGTGGCCGTTCTTTTTGAGGCTGGCATGGGTGCCGCCCGTCCGTCGGGTCGCTGGCAGTGTGCCGGCGAGAAAATATTCATTTTGGAGGCCGGCTGTATTGCCGGCCGCTGGCTGTGTTGCCGGCGAGGAGAACTATTCATTTTGGAGGCTGGTTGTGTTGCCGGTCGCTGGCTGATGCCGGCGATGGACGTGTAGGCCGCTGGCTCTGTTGTCGACGTGATGAACCGGGGCCGCTGGCCTGAACTAGGGCATGACATTTGAAACGTTGCTTTTTAATTTTTGAAGTGGATGCGGACAGGATGGGGCAAATGGATGCGGCCGCGCGCTGGACGCACGGCCACCGCATCCCAGGACAGGCCCGGACACGACCTCAAATCCCTACACAAACAGACAGAATCCGGACAAAACGGACGTCCGTTTGGGGTCGCGCGGTGGAGTTGGCCTTATTATTGATGGGCTTTGGGCTTCCTTTCTACTTCGATGTGATCTTCATGGGCCGTCCAGATACACGCGGCAGAAACGAAGAAGAATATGCTGGGTGACCTGATGCAGTTGTAGTTTGCCTCTTTCTCACAAGAGAAAAAAAAGTAGGAGGCCTTACCTTAAAAAAAGAAGCGGTAGTAGCTCTCAAAAAAGAAGTTGTAGTTTGCCTTCCCCTCAAAGAACAAAGTTGTGGTTTGCCTTCTGATAAAAAAAAGTTGTGGTTTGCCTTCCCTCAAAAAAAATGTTGTATTTTACCTAAAAAAGGTTTCACAAGTACAAAAAAAATCCATAGCATTCATCACCATCGCCCCAGCACGACTCCAAAACTCAAATCGTAGCAATCCTCCTCTTTGCGTCTGCGAGATCAATCCCGTTAGCAAAAATCTTTTTGTCGTGGAATGAGAGGTGGTTAACCCTATACTACCAAAGTCGCTAGTGTATTTTTGTTTGGTCGTGCTATAGTCTAGAGACACCACATATAAAATTCCATCCAATTCAAAGTTCGTTTATGCCCCCAATTAATTTATTTTCCATTTTTTAGAATCCTATAGCATTTTAATTAATATTTTTTTTATTACTAAAGCATTTGCATTGCCTTTTGATCTTAGCCCATTTATCCTATGGCTATCTAGCATCTCTGTGCGTCAAATAGCCAGCATGCCGGTGTTGGAAATATGTCATAGGGGCAATAATTACAATGTTATTATTTATTTCCAAGCTTATAATATTGTTTATGTTCGACACTATAACTGCAATGGTGCTAGAGTCTGCAATAACCACGAGGCTGGGAGAAAACCTCATGTACACGTGTAGAATAATAAAATGGCAAATCAATTCCTAATCTCGCCTCTAGGACTAGCTTAAGTGTTGCATGATGGTTTTGTTTTCCTGATCACGGGCATAAGTTAAGTGTAACGAGGATGCCGACAATTTTGAGGGCACAATGTTAGAAGAACACTTATGTTGAACTGACCCAAGTTGATTGTTATACTATGAGATCCTTTCGTCACAAGTTTATAGTTTATAACACATGAAAGTTAACGTATGCATAATTCCTTTCACCCTGAGAGCATCAAGTATTTTCATACCACATGATGTACTTTGGGGTTGTTCTAACGTCAACTGTAACAGGGTGATCATAATGACAACTTACAGGTGCATCGAAAAGGTATTCCAAGGTACTCGATAGCTTGAGACTGGGATTTGCTCCTCCATCGATGGAAAGACATTCATAGGGTCCTCTCGGTGTGACGGTATCCCTCATCGTCTGGCCAGACACAGCGTGACTTTCTCACACAGATGCCTGAACACGGGAACGAGAAAATAGAACAAAACCGGTAATGAGGAAACCGACATATTGATCATGTGTTGATTCACGAGGATGCCGATATATCTCATCTCAGGTTTAATGAAGTATCGCGAGGCAAAAGTGATACGGGGCTAGACCCAGTTTCGGCCGATATTTCCCGATTGGAGTGGATTCCCGCAAAGAACACGATGAACATGGGGAAGAACGGAGAGAAATCACAATGGGAAACACTCAAGAACAAGTTCAATCACACATCCACTAGACTAACAAACACACAAGATCACAAGGTACATGAACAATCAAAGGGAAAGATACAAGGTAGAGTTCATCCCAAATCCAAAGGAGACGGGGTCTTGGTGATCTAGGTAGATCCTTCCCGCAAAGGGGGTCTTGAATCCCTCGGGATATTCTCACATAGAGATCTTGAACTCCATGGGAGTGGTCTCTCTCTCTCAAGAGAAGAGTGGTAGGAGCAAAGCTCAACTAAGATGAGCTATCACATTCCTAACCCTAGAAAGAGTGGGGAGATGATCTATTTATAGTCTAAGCCATGAAGGGGTAAGTGGGAAAGAGAGATGCATGGGCCTTTGGCCCGGGGCTGCGCGCAGGCAGGCGCGGGATGTTTGTGCTAGGGGCCGGATGTCCAGCCTCTCGTGAGGCGCCGGATGTCCAGGGCGTGGCCGGATGTCCGGCCCGATGTTGGCCAAACTTCGGCGCACACTGTTGCGTCTCTGCCGGATTTCCGGGGGTAGGCCGGATGTTCGGATGCTGATGTGGTGCCAGATGTCCGGTCGCTGATGCTCTCTGGCCGTCTATTGGTGCAGCGCCTTTGGCTGCACAGGCGTCGGATGCCCGGCCTTGGCCCGGATGTACGGTCGTTGTAGCTTTAGTAGCTCCGTCTTCTTCTGTCGTCGCTTCCCTCGCGGATGGTGTAGTTATTCCTTGGCACTTGTACTCCTCCTTGTCATCCATGAAGCTCCTGCAATACCTATGTATGCACATGAGTGGAGTGTCAAGTACTATACGATCCTCGAAGGGGTCAAGTGAACACGTGTAAAGGAGATGATTCACCTTTTGGTATGTGAAATAGATGTCGCATGTGTCACTTGCCGAACGGACTCTTGACATGGTGATGTCCGTAGGATGCTCTGCATCATCCCCTCCCCCTTGGGAAAGATCCGACCTCAGATCAAAAACCAAATCACCATGGGAAAGAGATAGCGTCACCGTGTAGAAGTGGACGATCACCAAGTACTCATCATCTTGAAGCTCATAGTGTTCACTCTCCAATGTCGCACAGTCTTGGGATTTCTTCAAAAGGAGCAAGAAGAACAAACACTTGGAAAAACAAATGTGGTTATCGTGAGTGCAAAATCAAGCATTCAAGAGGTGATTCGCCCAACAAGTATCGTTATGAAGCATAGCATATGGTGTGACAAAGGATTATGACATGGTATGTAAGCACATAAATTGAGCACAATCAATGACATCATGGAAAGCAAGCATGTAAATGTGAGGTAGTGGTGCAAATATGTGTGACAAGAGAACAAGCATCTACCTCGAGGTCATAGCAAGCATGCACAAAGCGCTCAACAAATGTTCTATGGTATGCATATGTATCATTCACAACACCAAAGAAGATGATATTCTAAACACATGGGTCAAAGTGCAAGACAATCCAAGCATAACGTTCATAGGGTGTAGTGAAGATAAAGCGGCACTCAACACAATAGAAAGAGCAATTGTTCATCATGTGTGAGGCAATCAACGCAAGCATCACTACAAAAAAAATACACTTCCGTGATGATACGTGTTTGTCACAGTAGGTCGCGTTTTTTGTCATGCATGTACATCCATGACAAATTTATGACAGAATCAAGATAGTCATACTTGTACTGTCGTAGAAGTGTTCCA